GTATTTTATATTCAAATAGAGAAAGCCTGGGCACTCAAAGGGATCTTTAGAAAATATTCATCTATTTAGGCCCTTCTTGAAACTTTCAGTGGCTTCTCACTTCCTCTAAGAGAAATGCCAATTCTTTAATAAGCCTAACTAAATCCTGCCTTATTATCATCCCCACCCACCCAAGACCTCGGGCTGTCGTCACACAGGGCTTTTTCTCTGTTTCGCCTATTGCAGATTTTCAAAGTTTACATATCACAACCTAGTAACTATGTGTGACATACGTGCTTCTATGTGATTTCTTTTTTAAAATGCAGGTCACAACCCACTCCACTGAACTGACATTCTACTCCTGAGTGCCTAGGTGTCTGCAGTTTGAAAAATACTTTAGTACACCACCCTCTCTCTTAATGACCTTTGCATTATGTTCTTTTTTCCTGAAAACTCTTGCTTTTACGTGGCTACCTCCTATTCTACTTTGTGACCTTAGTTGGTTTTTTTTTTTTTTTAAGATTTTATTTATTTGAGAGAGAGAGAGCATGAAAGGGGCGAGGGGCAGAGGGAGAAGCCCGCTCCCTGATGAGCAGAGGGCCTGATGTGGGACTTGATCCTGGGACTCCAGGATCATGACCTGAGCCGAAGGCAGTTGCTTAACCAACTGAGCCACCCAGGTGCCCGGTTTTGTTTTTTTTTTTTTTAAAGATTTTATTTATTTGTCAGAGAGAGGGAGGGAGCACAAGCAGGGGGAGCAGCAGGTGGAGGGAGAATCAGGCCCCCTGCTGAGCAAGGAGCCTGATGCAGGACTTGATCCCAGAACTCTGGGAACCAGACCTGAGGCAAAGGCAGAAGCTTAATCGACTGAGCCACAGGTGTCCCTGTGACCTTAGCTCTTAACCATCACTTCCCCGACCCTCCTAGATGAGGTCTCCCTTCTCTGTGGTCCCAAAGTACCCCAAACTTTCTAACACTTATTATACTCTACTGTAACTGTTCTGCACTAGTTGTCTTTGCAGGCTGCAAACTCCATGAAAGCAAGGACTCATTCATCTTCACTGGCAAATCCCAAGGGCCTAGACTAGTGCCTATTACATATTCGACAGTCTGTAAATATTCGAGGAGTAAAAAAGTTAGAATATAGACTTAATAATCTATGTATTTAACCACACAATGAAAAGATCAGCCACTTAAAAACTGTTCAGAAGTTTAGCTACTTCCAAGGAAAATAAATTCTCAGTTCCTATTTTGTAAAGTATTAAGTTCCTAGGCTAGCCTACAAAACACACACGACACAGTTAACTGATAAGAGGACCTCCGTATTTCCCGCTCCACAAAGACAACAGGATTTTCACTCCCCTAAGTAGAAGAACACGGGATTAAAGGGGCGCTTTTCTTTCTTTTTACCCCATCAGCAATTCCTGGAGAAAGTGACTGTTAAGGGCTGAGACAGGGATAAAAGTCAATACTCCAGACAGGCCCCTCCCCCGAACTCTCACTGGCTCTCTCTCTCTTGGATGCCTTCAAGGAAAGTTTTCCTTTCCATTCCAACTCCTAGGAGGGCAACTTCCTGATCAAGAACTTTCCCTCCCTGCAGGGGAGACCTGACCCACAGCTTTTTAAGTGCTACAGTTTCCTCTGGGTAGGTAAATTAAGAAGGAAAAGAGTAAGCACAGATCTAAACTAAATTCTCCAATTCAGCTTTACCAGAAATAACAATGAAACTATATTTTAACAGCATTTTAATCTTCATCTGGTTTCTTGACCCTGATCTCAACTTGACCAGAATGTGGAGACAGGGGAATGTAATTAGCATACTGAAAAGCTTACACGTGAACAGTATTCATTGCAGTCTGACTTCTGGGTCCTAGAAGAAGAGTACCATGGAGAAGCAACGTGGGGGAAAGGGGAAGAGGAGTGAAATAAAGAAGGTTCTTCTACCTTTTCCTATCTAGAATTTCTCTTGGGCAAAAAATGTCGTTGAATCTAAATGTCGGCAAAAAATAAGTTGAATCTATTTTAATATCTCACAACCTTTCCTTCCAAATTCTCATTCTTGTTTTTCTTTTCTCTTCTTCCAGAGCCTTTATGCTATCCAAAGATCTCCATTTTCAACACTCACACTTTTAGAAATACTGCAAATTTTGTCAAACCTGTAATACGATCCCCTACTACTTACCTCTCCTATCTTTACTCAGGTCAAAATTCCCATTTCCTCAGTGTAGCTGATGGGGGGGGGGGGAGCAATCTGATTAAATCCATTCGTATTATAATAGAATAACTGACTGACAGTCCTAGCCTTTGATCCCTACTGGAGATACATATGTTTTATTTTCATATATATTTTAAAACACACACACATACATTATTCTTAAGCTATAGAAATGTAATTATGGTAATCTCAGAGAAAAGATGTGAGGTGCCTAGATGCTCACTATAAAGGAGGCAGGTCTGCTCTGACCAGCATTTCTCAGGGATCCTGCCCCCAAAACTGTTCCCATTTTACACTGCTCTCGACATTCAGTCCTCAGTAAGTCCTAAAAACTCCAGAGTGTGAAGAAGGCCAGCTTGGAAAACATCTGTAGCTCTGGGAGATGTTTATATCCATTGGGTGAGTTAGTAACAATCACTATTAGGTTGGACAGGTTATCTCAAATATTCTGATAATCATTCCATTAGCTAAAAGAAAAACAGACACTCAGGTTACATACTGAAATTATTCATTCTACTAAGAAAGTCAGTGAGGCATAAAAGGGTTAAATAACATTTCCATTGTTTTATAATTTAGTAGTTGAGAAGCAGGATTGGACTGACCTTCGTACTTTCAATCAGTTGCTTATCCATAATTCCACTTGGAAATCTTTAGTTTTATTTTCTATAATACTTCTGAAATTTGAAAGTAAAATTTTTTTGAACAGTTACATTAGAGCAATAGGAAAATGAGCTTGAACTCCTGAGAGGCAGGTGCCATGTCTTTTTCAGTGGTTTTTGCTATAAAAGAGCTAAGGCTAACACTGAATTTGTGTGTACTCAGAAATTAACCACAAAAGAAGCCTAGCTGCATTCATTGAGCCATAAGTGGCTCTTAACTTCAGTGCCACCAAAAATATTTATTTGCCACCCACAGATGGGTCTAACTGTAGTAAAAGACTACAAAAACTTAGGAAAACAAGATCTTTGCCTGAGAAGTTAAGCAAATGAAATTTTAACTGAATAACTGGTGTTTGCCATTTTTTAGTATTTTGTTTAGCCAGCCATCAAAATAAGTTATTTGTAATTAAAATGATAACTGGGACTGTTTTCAAGCCAAGCACTGAATATATGAAAACACCAGCTGTGTGTGGTCTCTCTTCAATCTGGTCATAGCATACCTTTTGTGGCTTTTCTCAAGAGAATAGAAAGGGAAACAGGAGGAAAGATGATCAAGAATTAACAGGTAAGGTATTCAGGAAAACATTAATGGCCCTTACTCCACTTTCCCCAAATAGAAGCATTATGTTGCCTGCTATCAGGTTGGTTGGCTTTTTTTGGTCAGTAATAGCCCCAAAACCTAAATTTTTTTCTATAAATAAATAACATAATACAACAATAAAAAAAAATACCCAACATGAAAGGAAGAAAGAAAACAGATAATCACATCAAAATATGTGCAAAGGATTTGAATAGACATTTCTCCAAAGAAGCTATACAAAGAGCAAGTAAGCACATGAGAAGACCCACAACACGATTAGCCCCGAGATAAATGCAAATCAGTATCACTTCACACCCACTAGAATGGCTGTAACAAGAACTAGCCAACGGATCATCACAAGCGTCGGTGAATACGAGAAACTGGAACCTTCATACAGCGTTTGGCCGGAATGTAAAAGGATGCCCCCTACTATACAAAAGTTTGGCAGTTTCACAAAAAGTTAAACACGCAGACACCCAAGAGAGATGAAAGCATATGCTCACATAAAAACCTACACACAAATGTTTATGGCAGCGGCCTTATTCACAAGAGCCAAAAAGTGGAAACATCCTGAATGTCCATGAATGGATAAACAGTATGTGATATTATGGTACACTGATACAATGGAATATTATCCAGCCATAAAAAAAGAATAAAGTTCTGATACACCCTACAACATGGATGAATGTTGGAAACATTTTGCTATGTCAAAGAAGCCAGACACCAAAAGCCACATATTGTAGGATTCCTTTTATATGAAATTTCCAGACTAGGCACATCCATAGAGAAAGAAAGTAGATTAGCAACTGCCAGAGGGTGGGGTAAAGGAGAAATGAGAAATGACTGCTAATGGGTACAGGGTTTCACTCTGAGGTGATGAAAATGTTCAGGATAGTGGTGATAGTTGCAAAACTTTGTGACTAAAGTAAAAGCCACACTTTAAAAAGATGAATTTTATGGTATGGGCAGTGTATCTCAATTAAAAAAAAAAAACCAAGTGTTCACTTACAGAAAGATGACATATATGTGTAACAGATTCGTAAAGGTAATATACATAATTGTGTACAAAAACGTAATCGCCCAATGCAGATGAATGTTTGGGTTTTTTTTAATTTCTTTTCAGCATTCCAGAATTCATTATTGTTTGTTTGTTTGTTTGTTTTTTTAATTGAGATACATTTCACTTACTTAAAAGAATGAAAGAAGGAGGTGAGACGAAGCAACTGCCGAGCCCCGAAGTGGTGGAGCTGGGGTGTGCCCGAGCCCGCCGGGCGGCGTCTCCATCCGAGCTCACCTTCCACCGGTCCCGCAGCCACCCCCCCGCTGCCGGGCCCAGCGTCCGGGGCCGCCCGCCCGCAGCTGCCCGGCATCCCCGTCCGCGCCCAGGGCCAGCCCGCCGTCCCGCCCGAGGTGGGGTAGGCGCGGGGGCCCCGGGGGAGGGGACCTGGCGGCTCCCGAGGGGCGCGCGGCCGCCCCGCACAGCCCGGGCCCTCCCGCGCCCTCCCGCGCCCTCCCGCGCCCCGGCCGCAGGGTCCCAGCCCGGGCCCACCCCACCTCCCTCCAGTACTTGGGATGCGCCCGAACCCCGCGCCGCGGCCAAAGCCCAGACTTCCCCTCCATTATCACCTGCCCCGGAGCGCGGCCGCCCCGGCCGGTGTGAGCAGAGGGGACCCCGCCTCCTCAGACGCGACCTCGGCACCCGGGGCGGGGGGTGGAAGGAGCATTCACCTAGTGCCCCCGCGGCGGCGCGGCAGTTGCCCCCGGCCGCGGCTCCTTCCTGCTGGCGCGCCTCCTCTCGCCCTCGCGGCCCCGCGCTGACAGCCCGGGAGCCGGCGCCCGCGGCTCGCTCGATCCCCGCCCCCGCGCGGCCGCCCCGCGCACGCGCAGCCCCGCCGCCGCCCGAGGGGAAGCTAGCGCTTGGTGATGTGGCCGCGGGGGCGGCGACCGGGAGCGCGAGCACCGCCCCTCCCCGACCCCCGGCCGCACCCTGAAAGCCGCCGCCCGGGGCGCGGGTTGGAGGGGAGGACGGAGGAGTCTTTAGGGAACCGTACCCCGGAGAGAGGGACTGTGGCCTTTTGGCAGCGCCCTGTCATCCCCGCAGACCCACGCCCATCCACATCGCCAGCTGCTCCTAGGTCCGAACCCCCAAATCTATGACTCATGATTTCTGTGCTCAGACCAGGGGCCTCCTGGTGGCTGCGTTCGTGTTTCCTTCTCGCAGACTGGAATGAAAACCAAGGCGTCTGTAACTCTGTGCTTGCCTTTGCGCAGAGCCTCGCTGAAGGCGCCGTGTCTCGCTGAGGACGGAGAGACGAGGGGGTGCACCAGTAGGGGATGGGATTGAGGGCCGCTCCCAGCACCTTCCCCGGGGAGCGAGGTGTAGACGCCAAGTGCATGGGCGCAGTGGAGATGACTGGGATGCCAATACTTTTCCAAGCTCGCCACAGTCCAGGTGAAAGTGACCAAAGTTTGCAGCGCAACCCCCCCACCATCCCAGACCTCTTACCTAACTATTGAGCCCCTTTAGAATGACTCAGGTAATGGCCTATGCCTGCGGGATATTCCAGGGACTGTCCTCAGGCACTTATTTCCAAAGGCTGTCATTTTTAAAATTACACAGCTAGTGGCCCTCTTTTCCTCAGAGCAGAGCTCCCACTGTCCAGCAGTGACTTAGTATCAGCTTTTCAGATGCTAAGGGACACCAGAGCGTACATTTATCCAGTTTTTTTTCTTTTTTGTTTTTGTGCTTTGCAATCAGCTTGAATTTTGACCTTAACCTTCTGGGTGAAGTGTGTTTATGTACCCGTCTTGACCATCTGCAGTAATGCCTTTTACAATGGCGAAAGCAGCTGTTCTTCGCAATCTAAACACTGTTAGGAATGAAAGGCTAATTGCAAAGAATACGGAAAAACAGGGTTCTGACTGTATTTCGAAGTGGGTTTTGTTCTCACTGTTCTGAACCATATTACCACTTGCAGGTAAATAGCTGTTCTTAAAAGTTTGCCTGTAGTAAAACTCCAACCCGGTAAGTGTACCTCCCTGGGACTGTACAGTTTTTGGAGACTTCTGCGCTGAGTTTTAATCAGAGAAACCACCCTCTCCCAGTTTTGAAAATCTACCACCATTTTTTTTTTCTCACTGATTCTGAGCCGGAGGTTTCAGTTGCCCTAAATTTCATTAGGTGGGAAGCCTTCTCCTTACGGGGTGCTGTCATTCTGTGTGCCACAATATAGTGAGTATTTTTTAGATATTTTAAGCTCTAAGTTGGAATCCAAATCCAAACTAAATTTCAACTCTGGAAATAGCTCAGGGTAGAATTGGGTCAAGAGACACCCCTTTCTGAAAAATTAGATCCTAATGTGTGCGGGCAACAATGCTCACATCACTACTTCCTCTTCTGCCTGACAGCTGGCAAGTTAAATTGTGAAGCAAGTGGCTTAGAATTGAAGATCCGTATTAATCACTGCTGCGATGATTGCTAGAAGAAAACCTGGGAGTTAGGAGAGTGTGTAACAATGGGACTTGTCTGTTCGCTCTAGGGGTAAAAAAGATCTCTTTGAGGAAGTGACATTTAATCGGAGCCTTGAAGAATAAGGAAGAGTAGGTCTGACAACAAAGGGAAAGGGGTGGGGAGTGCCCTTGTAGAAACCGCAGGTTTGAAGGCTCTTGGGTAGGAAGGGACTCCACCTGAGGCTAGAATGAGGCGACTAGTGCTGAAGGAGATGTGTGTACATGGCTTGAGGGCCATGGTGAAAATTTTGGACCTAATCCTAAAGACAAAAGAAAGCCACTGAAGAGTTGGAGAGACTCCATCTGTGCACGATCCAATTCGTGTTTGCCAATGACATTTCTGCTTGCAGTGTGGGAACTGAGGAAGAAGGCAGCAGCAGAGGGTGTGTGAAACCCAGTCTGCAGGTATGGGAGAGTAGAAGACGGTGGATCAAGGACATCAATCAGAATTAGATCCATAAGCGCCTAATCATTGGCTGCATGTAAAAGGTGGGGGAATGAAAAGTATCCAGAAGGGTGCCTGGGTGGCTCCGTTGGTTAAGAGACTGCCTTCTGCTCAGGTCATGATCCTGGAGTCCCAGAATCGAGTCCTGCATTGGGCTGTTTGGCAGGGAGTCTGCTTCTCCCTCTGACCCTCCCCCTTCTCATGCGCGCTCTCTCTCTCTCTCTCTTTCACACACACACACACACACACACACACACACACACACTCTCTCTCTCTCTCTCTCTCAAAAAAAAAAAATCTTAAAAAAAAAAAAAAAAAGAAAGAAAAGAAAGAAAGAAAGAAAAGTGTCCCAAAATGACTCCCAGGTTTCTAGCGTGAGTTCATCCCATTCCCCGGGATGGGGAGTCTGGAGGGGGAGGTCTCAAGGGGACAAGTTTGAGTTGCTTTAAATATGTTGAGTTCGCTGTCTCTATGAGACATCCAAGTGAAGATGCTGAGTATATATTTACAAAATAAATCTGGAACACAAAGTAGAGATCTGGACGGAAGATGAAATCAAACCCAAATGTTTAGAGAGCAAGGAATATGACTTGCTTGTAAGAACTTAACCTCTAAACTTTAGAAAAAATGAACAGAAGCGAAGGGTACCTAATACTATGTGTGAGACACTCCACAGACAATATTTTTATTTTATCCTTTACACCCTATGTGGATGGTATTATAATTGCATTTTTCATATAAGGACACTAAGGGTTAAATCTTTGGTCAAATTTACTTGAATTCTCAATTTAAAAAGACCAATTGAATAAGAATCTCTGTGGGTAATTCTGATGATCACTGAGGTTTAGAAATTTAAAAGTGCAGACTGCTTAAAAGTGGTCACACAAACCATATAAAATACCTATTTTAAACAATGATTAAAATAAGATAAAATAAAATTAAAAAAGAAACCATGATTCCAAGAACATGTAGCCGATGCAGCAAATGTTTGTGGATACACGTCCCTGTTTCTTTCACCTAAGCACACCCCCCCCCCATTATCAATGCCCTTCCTGGGAAACTCTGGAATGTTCATTTGTTCATTCATGCAGTAAGTAGTTATGGTGAACCTTCTACCGTGTACCAAGTAACAACAGTCATTCAGTTATTCACAAATATTAATTGAGCACTTACTAAACACCATGCTGTTTCATGCTCTGGGAATATAGCAGTGAACAAAATAAACAGATGTCTGCCCTACAGAGTTTACATTCAGGTGGGGAAAGACAAACAGACATATATGTGTATATGAATACAGGTATCTGTATACAGGTATATATACGTAGAAAGATGTATATATCCCACATGGCAATAACTACAATGACTACAAATAAAACAGGAGAAAGAGTTGGAGAGTTCAGGGTATAGAGAGAAGGGGAGACAGTTTTATACAGGGCAATCCATAGAGGTCCTGCGGTTTGAGCAGAAAGGAGTGAGGGAGCAACTATGGTATCCGGAGAAGGTACAGCCAGCACAAAGGTCCTGAGGCAAAAGTGTGTGTGAGGTGTTCAAGATACAGCAAGGAGTCCTGGAGTGGCTGGAATGAGAAGTAGCTAGAGGCAGGTCATGAGGCTTGTAGGCCATTGTAGGTAAGACCTTTGGCTTTCACTGTGAGAGAGACAGGAACCACTGAAAGGGGCTGGACAGAGAAATGGCCCACTCTGACAGTTTCAAAGGGATGACCATGGAGAGCTGAGTGAGGAGGCAAGGGTGGAAGCAGGATGACCAGTAAGGATGCTCTTCCAATAATCCAGTCAAGGGGGGTGGGGCTGGGTGGCTCAGTCAATTAAGCATCTGCTTTTGGCTCAGGTCTTGACCCCTGGGTCCTGAGTTTGAGTCCTACATTGGGCTCCTTGCTCAGCGGGGAGCCTGCTTCTCCCTCTGCCTGCCGTTCCTCCTGCTCGTGCTCTCTCTCTCACACACACAAATAAATAAATGAAATCTTAAAAAAAAAATCCAGGTGCGAGAGATGGCAGCACAGACCAGGGTGGTCAAAGAGGTAAGTGGTAAGAAGGTGCTGCACTCTGGATCATTTGACAGGAGAGCTCACAGGCAAGATTTGCTAATGGATTGAAAGATGGGTAAGAGAAAAAGAAGAAAGAGAAAGGCGGTTAAGGATGTCTCCAAAGGTTTTGGCTCAAGCAGTTGGAAAACTGGAGTTGCCATTTGCCAAAATGGCGGATGATAAGAAAAGTCAAGAGCTGGTATGAGAACCTCTGGGAGGGTCTACTCTTCTAAGCGCCTGGTCTGTGGGAACAAATTCAGTGCTCACAACAACTCTCTAAGGTACATCCTGTTGTTATACCTATTTTATTGTTGAGGAATTGAGATATTGCTCTATACGGTACTTCAGATTCCACTGCTGTGAATGGTGATAATACTCCAGAGGTTACCACTGCACTGTCTCTCCAGGAAGGCAGACGACTATATATACAAGGACAACAAAATCTAGAGCTACAATGGGAAAGTCTGAGGATGCCGTAGCTGTACAAAGCAGAAGCATCTTCCAGGAGGCACCTGGGTGGCTCAGTGGGTTAAGCCTCTGCCTTTGGCTCAGGTCCTTGTCTCAGGGTCCTGGGATTGAGCCCCACATCGGGCTCTCTGCTCAGCGGGGAGTCTGCTTCCC